CCCTCACGACCTAACACCGTCATACCCTAATACCGCACTGCTATCAAGCATTGATTTCAAAGCACATCCAGGGTCACCGATTCATCGAAGTGCTTCGCCAACCATAACCCTAGCCCGGTTCCGAGGTTCCCTGCGTGACGTCTCTTCTTTTCTTGGATCGCCGGTTCGTCAGGTAGCATGCCAGTCGCTTCAATTTCGTACCTACATTGCTTGCTTCCTAGGATTTTCGCATCTATTAGATATATCGTATTTACTTGTATATCCATCTATTCCATCGTGCAGCGAGTCGGTGCCGTTGAGATCGTGTGGCAGTTGTCAGTCAACTCGGAGCCAAGCTCGCGAGTACGGAAGTGTTAGGGCAGTTACTCTTGACAGCGACAGTTGTTCTTGTTGGCAGCAGTTGATCTTTTCAGATGGCTCGCATGAAGAATGTCGGGGGTGGTCCAGGAGATGATGATCGGAGGCCTCCGCCTCGCCTGCCTGTAGATCCAAAAGGCAAGGCAACAAAGATAGTTGTAGCCAAGAAGAGGAAGTACCCAGATGCAGAGACAGCTCATGCAGCAGCAGTTGCAGAGGCCGCAGAGCGTGCCGAGAGAGGAGGTGCTCGCAGTGGGGTTGTGATTGCAGATCAGCAGCTTACACCAGTACAGAGGGCAGCAGTTGAGGAGGCTGAGCATTTTCATGGCAGTCCACCAGGTACTATGACAATGGCAGGGCGACGTCTTCCCGTTGTGGATCCTCAGCCTCAGGGGGAGTCACAACAGGAGTCACAGCAGCAGCCCCCACCAGCAGAGCCTCAGCCAGCTCAGGAGACTCAGGAGGGCCAGCAGGCCAAGGAGGCCGAGGAGACCGAGCAGGCACCACAGCCACAGCTTCGCCGCTCGGGTCGTACATGAGTTCTAGTCTCACCGAGGCCACCTACGCAGCGGAGAGGTTCGCGTCCACCGCCCAAATGACAGGGTCCTCCCCCAGTGACCCATCTTGACTTAAGGGCCACCACTCACCCTGGGCATTCGGTCAGACCAAACCGATCGGTTCGGTTCCTCGGTCATTCGGTCAATTCGGTCATCAGAAACCTGGGACCGATCGGTCTTTGCAAAAAACGAAGACCGAGGAAGCTCGGTCTCAGTTAGTTCGGTTCGGTCTCGGTCACGACCGAACTAACCGGACCTGAGTAGCAGCCACAAACAATAGCAGAATCTATAGCAATTTTTAACAGCATGCTTGCTATTTGAAGGCAAAAAAATAACAACACAATATATAAAACAAACCACACATTATTATGACAAGTTCTAGCACACAACTTTCTCAGTTCTTACAAATCACAATCACACATAATGACATTACGAACGAAGTCTATAGAACTACGGTCAGTTCGGTCACTTCGGTTAACCGACACATATGACCAAACTTCTATCGGTTACTTCGGTTAGTTGGGAGCCAGGACCGAACTCATGACCGAACTTTTCGGTCTCGGTCTTTTCGGTCTCGGTCTCGGTCTTTTCGGTTCGGTCTTCGGTCTTCGGTTAATTATGCCCAGAGTTAGCCACCACAGCCAAACAGGTGCAGCAGCTTCGCTTCGTGGAGTTTGATGTGTGGTTTCCTCCGAGGAGGGATGAGAGAGCAGCAGAGGGTTTCTACACGCCACTGCAGGAGGATTTCTACAATGCTTATCTCAACAGTGGGGCAGTGTTCAAATCTCAGCGGGTTTGCAGTATAGAGTCTATTGTGGCAGCAGTTGGAGAGCATATCCGCCCCAACTTATCATATTTGCCGGGGCTGACAGATCTGATTGGCCCGACTCGTCCGCTGCAGCCCCGCCAACCAGCCCTTAGGTTTTGGTGTTTGACGCCAAAGGGAGAGAGGGTTCGAGTATGTAGACTCAGGGGAGCGACATTTAGGGGAGCTAGTTAGCTATTAGTCTTTTATATACATTTGGAGTCTTATTTATGTGATACACTATTACTATTATGCATTCGTGTGTTTACTTTCATGCATACTATTATATCTATGTGATAGTGATATCTACGTAATTGTGATATATGACATGTGTGCTCTCTACTCTGAATTCTTTAATATGTCATATCACTTGAGCTATGCTCATTTGTCTTTGCTTCCGCGTTTTTACTCCGATGCAAATGAGTCTTTCTTATTGTACTCATGCTTATTTCATATCATTTGAGTACATCATGATGGCTTGGGTTATATAAGCTTGACTAACTCTTTTGTTCTTATTGCTAAAAGCTTATATGATCCAAGCATGTTAAAAACCTCAACTCTTTCATATACTCGAGGTTGTATTGTCATCAATCACCAAAAAGGGAGAGATTGAAAACATCTAGGCCCCTAATTGGGTTTCGATGATTAATGACAATATAAGATTACTGTGACTAACGTGTGTTTTGCAGAGGCAATTAAGTTAGGTCACGATAATGGAGATCGATTGGGCAATCAAGGTTGTCATGCCCCTACGATGGAAATCGTTTTGGTTTTCAAAGGATGGACGACAAGGTTAAGGATGACTAATTCTAAGTGCCGTTTGGAGTTGAAGAGACACTTAGAGTAGTTTAAGACTTTGTTTTTCCTTTGACCGTACTATTAAGGGGGGTATGGACGGGTAGCTTGACCTAGGTGAGTCTAGTGAGTTAGATGTGGTGCACACTTGTTAAAACTAGCACTAGGTAGCTCCTAAATATGACTAAGATCCTTTGGAGCAAACTTCATTGCAAAACATGCCCTTGTACCCTGCTAGTCCGTCTAGCTCCACAAACCCTAACATATATTAAGATCTAACTAAGTACACCGATAGACCGGCCATATAGGTAAAATGACACTAGCATATACTCATTCTATCTCAAAATAGTTGACACTTTAGCTATGAATCTCGACAAATAATTAGCTGAAGTGTTAACTAGTTTAGGACAAAGAGAGTAGTCAACAACAAGATAAATTATTAGCCATAGTCTACTTTATATCTGGGCCTTGTTTAGTTGCTCCTAACTCCCAATTTTGGCACTATGCAAAAAGAAGATTACCCGTCACATCAAACTTGTGGTACATACATGGAGTACTAAATGTAGACGAAATCAAAAACTAATTGCACAGTTAGGTTGTACTTTTTGCGAGATTTAACGTTTTGAGCCTAATTAGTCAACGATTGGACAATTATTACCAAATACAAACGAAATGCTACATTACGCTACTGAAGACGCACAATGAATCAAGTGATTTAATTCAGCCAACTAAACAAGGCTCGATGATAGGGTAGAACATGATCGACGTGATGCCACCGTAAAAGAGAGATGGAGGAGCTAATACTACTTGCACCGATTAATTACTAGTACAAGTACTTTCTTAGGTGCACAACACAACGGCCGCCCGATGCTTGATGGTTTTTGTTTTGGAAGCCGTACCACCGACGAGGTGGTGCAAAGGCTGTTGAAGAGATATATATGGGCATTGTGCAATGTGCACTCTTCCGGAATGGATCATTGGAGGGCGTCAACGTCGTCTCATATTATTGAGAACATCTAGGCTCCTAATTGGGTTTCGATGATTAATGACAATATAAGATTACTATGACTAATGTGTGTTTTGCAGAGGCAATTAAGTTAGGTCACGATAATGGAGATCGATTAGGCAATCAAGGTTGTCATACCCCTACGATGGAAATCGTTTCGGTTTTCAAAGGATGGACGACAAGGTTAAGGATGACTAATTCGAAGTGCCGTTTGGAGTTGAAGAGACACTTAGAGTAGTTTAGGACTTTGTTTTTCCTTTGACCGTACTATTAAGGGGGGTATGACGGGTAGCTTGACCTAGGTGAGTCTAGTGAGTTAGGTGTGGTGCACATTTGTTAAAACTAGCACTAGGTAGCTCCTAAATATGACTAAGATCCTTTGGAGCAAACTTCATTCACATATGATTGAGAGTTGGAAGTGAATGGAGGGTCAAAGACTGACTGACGACTGGCTTGATGCAATGGACCGGACCGGGCTGCAGGTCCGGCCGATTCATTTGATGAGTGAACTAGTCCGGTTTGACCGGACTTTGGAGAGAATCAAGTGACCGGACGAGGGCCGCGTCCGGTCGACTCCAGTAAGGTTCCAGAGAAGAGAATCTGCGACCGGACGTGTCCGGTCAGTGCTGATCGGACCCTGGGGGTTCAGCGTCCGGTCGACTCCAGTAAGGTTCCAGTTAGGGTTATTTGCGACCGGACGCGTCCGGCCAAGCAGACCGAACCACACTGCGTCCGGTCAACACTTAAACACTCGTGTGCGGGTTGAACTGACCGGAGCGTCCGGTTACCCCGCAGAGGCACATAACGGTTCGTTTTTCAGCCCATATTATAAATAGAAGTTCCACTCGTGTGTGGAGTCACTTTTGCTCATTTCAACAGCTGAAACACGCCTTAGAGAGTGCCAAGAAGAGTAAGGTCCTAGTGAGGTGATTGTGATTTGAGAATCCAAAGAGAGCCCTCATTAGTGAAGATCAAGAGTAGCAAAGTGTGCATCCACCCTTCTACCTAGGCTTGTTGTGGTCAAGTGAGAGTTCGTGCTTGTTACTCTTGGTGATCGTCATCACCTAGACGACTTGGTGGTGACTGGGAGCTTGGTGATCATCCGAAGAGCTTGTGGATGACCCAACTCAAGTTGTGAGCGGTTGTGGGTGATTCTCCGTGACGGAGTGTCAAAGAATCAACCCGTAGAGAGCACTTGATCCTTGCGCGGATCAAGGAGGAGCTACACCCTTGCGTGGGTGCTCCAACGAGGACTAGTGGGGAGTGACGACTCTCCGATACCTCGGCAAAACATCGCCGCGTTTCCTATCCTCTCTTTACTTTGACCATTTCAATTCTTGTCATTTACATTCCTAGAATTGTATACATTTTTCTTCAAAGCGTAACCTCGTGTTTTCTATCAGTGTTCTTTCTAGTTCCACCTGATCTTTTGCAGCCTGAGTTGTGCTGATGTTCGCCAAAACGCAACCTGTCCTTTCAGGATGCTAGCCAAGAAGGTGAAAAGGCTGATGAAGTGGAAAAGGCAAAGTCTTGTCAACTTGAATTTGGGAGTTATTGTCTCTGGTCCATTGAGCACAAAGAAATAATGAAAGATCATATAGTGAAAAGGCTAAAAGATCAACTCTTCGTAGCACGCTCATACTATCCAAGCATTGCAAAACTTCAAGGACAGGAAGCTCTGACTCAGGAAATGAAGCAAAACATACAAGACCATGAAAGGATTCTTAGTGTATCAACAGTTGATGCTGATCTACCATCCCTGTAAGAATTAAATTTTACTTCTTAAGATCATAGTTCCGTGTGATGATTAGTGTTAAAGCTGATTGTGCGATGACTATGTTACTATAAGAACAAATTTTATTACATTGAATTCGGGTGTCCTATAAGTTAAGATGATCTATTTTTTTCTGAATGCCCGTTAGGGAATATATTTATGTCTTAAAGAGACAAGGAGATTTAATTCAATCTAGGGGCGTTATTTCCAATCATCAGTAGGGCTTAATACTTAGATAATTTGAATGACAAGCTGTTTTGTGATTTCAGTATCAACAGAAGGATGAAGCAGATGGAGCGAACATTAGTGAGAGCCAAATCTTGCACAGTAGATTGTAAGAATGTTGACAGGAAGCTTCGCCAGATACTTGATATGACTGAGGATGAAGCTCATTTTCATATGAAGCAGAGTGCATTCCTCTACAATCTCGGTGCCCAGACATTGCCGAAAAGTCATCATTGCCTATCTATGAGGTTGACACTAGAATATTTCAAATCATCTTCATTGGATTCTGATGATTCTCCTGGCAAGTTCAGTAGTCCAGAATACAGGCACTATGTTATACTATCTAGGAACGTTATTGCGGCTTCTGTAGTGATCAACTCAACTGTGACCAGTTGTAAGGTATTTGGCTGATATTTACAATGTTAAATCTATACACTATCTTCTGAGCTGTGCATCCCCAGCATACTCACTGGTCTTTTTTGCAGGAGCCAGGCTACCTTGCTTTTCATATCCTAACTGATGCTCAGAACTTCTATGCCATGAAACACTGGTTTGCCAGGAATTCATATAAAAATGCAGCTATCCATGTCCTAAACTACGAGGCCATTATTTTGGAGAGACTTCCAAAGTATACTATCTGGCAGCTGTATTTGCCAGAGGAGTTCCGTGTTCTCATTAGGAGCATTAAGCAGCCTACTGAAAACACAAGAATGAAATACCTGTCACTTTTCAGCCACTCACATTTCATTATTCCAGAAATATTCAAGTATCTAAACAAGGTGGTTGTGTTGGATGACGATGTAGTTGTTCAACGTGATCTGTCTTTCTTGTGGAATATTGATATGGGAGACAAGGTAAATGGCGCTGTCGAATTTTGTGGTCTGAAACTGGGTGAAATGAAAAATGTCTTGGGTAAAACAGCATATGATCCCAAGTCGTGTGCATGGATGTCAGGGGTGAATTTGATTAATTTGGATAAATGGAGGGAGCATAATGTTACTGAGAACTATCTGTTGCTCATGAAAAAGGTTAGTATTGTTCCAGGCCAGTAAATTCATGCTATAGAATGTTATAAAAAGGGGATGCTTGCATTAGGTGGTATGCCTTTCTATTTTGGCATGTTTTACAGGCTTGAAAGAAATTTTCAGTGCCATCAAATAGTTTGCTTTCTTTCATTTTTCGTTGAATTTTCTCCAATAGAACTTTGAAAACGATAGTATGTTTTAGTGTATTTCAGATGTTTCTTCATATTGTTAGCTAGTTATTTATCTCATTATTCTTGTTTTGTTACAGTTCAAAGTCAAGGATGAGCTGTCCCTCATGAAAGCAGCAGCATTTCCTCTAAGCTTGCTATCCTTGCAACATCTAATATATCCCCTAGATGAAAAATTGACCCTTGCTGGACTTGGATATGATTATGGAATTGATGAAGAGGTTGCGCGGAGATCTGCATCATTGCACTACAATGGCAACATGAAACCTTGGCTTGAATTAGGTATACCGGACTACAAGAAGTACTGGAAGAGGTTTCTTGTCCGAGGAGATCGATTTATGGACGAGTGCAACGTAAATCCGTGATGCGGTTGGACCCGAAATCAGAACAATTGCGTAAATCTGTGACGCAGTTGGACCTGAAATCAGAACAATTGGAATAGATGGCTACATCAGCTAGCCTTACTGAAGTCAAATTGTGGAAGAGAGAACGAATTCTAGTGGTGGAGCCAGGATTTTTTTGAGTTGGATATTCCCAACATGGAAGTAGTAAATACAAAAGTATATACGGTGGTATAAATTTGAGTAAATGCTGGAGACTATGTGATCCATCGACCACCCTCTAGTGCCGCTCGCTCTTTCTAACAAATATTTCAAATCAGTCGACTTCATCTTACAAAACCTTCATGACATACAGATAAATATACATGCCACAAAACAATATAACAATGTCAATAATTGTGCTATAAAATTTGGATTTGGGATATAGAGAAGTGAATTATTGCAAAACATGCCCTTGTACCCTGCTAGTCCGTCTAGCTCCACAAACCCTAACATATATTAAGATCTAACTAAGTACACCGATAGACCGGCCATATAGGTAAAATGACACTAGCATATACTCATTCTATCTCAAAATAGTTGACACTTTAGCTATGAATCTCGACAAATAATTAGCTGAAGTGTTAACTAGTTTAGGACAAAGAGAGTAGTCAACAACAAGATAAATTATTAGCCATAGTCTACTTTATATCTGGGCCTTGTTTAGTTGCTCCTAACTCCCAACTTTGGCACTATGCAAAAAGAAGATTACCTGTCACATCAAACTTGTGGTACATACATGGAGTACTAAATGTAGACAAAATCAAAAACTAATTGCACAGTTAGGTTGTACTTTGCGAGACGAACGTTTTGAGCCTAATTAGTCAACGATTGGACAATTATTACCAAATACAAACGAAATGCTACATTACGCTACAGTAACGCACAATGAATCCGGCGGCGCCGAATTCGGCCAACTAAACAAGGCTCTGATGACAGGGTAGAACATGATCGACGTGATGCCACCAGAAAAGACAGATGGAGGGAGCTAATACTACTTGCACTGATTAATTACTAGTACAAGTACTTTCTTAGGTGCACAACACAACGGCCGCCCGATGCTTGATGGTTTTTTGTTTTGGAAGCCAGTACGACCGACGAGGTGGTGCAGTGCAGGCTGAAGAGATATATATGGGCATTGTGCAATGTGCACTCCTCCTGGAATGGACTGCTGGAGGGCGTCAACGTCGTCTCATGTTATTGAGAACATCTAGGCTCCTAATTGGGTTTCGGTGATTAATGACAATATAAGATTACTATGACTAATGTGTGTTTTGCAGAGGCAATTAAGTTAGGTCACGATAATGGAGATCAATTAGGCAATCAAGGTTGTCATACCCCTACGATGGAAATCGTTTCGGTTTTCAAAGGATGGACGACAAAGTTAAGGATGACTAATTCGAAGTGCCGTTTGGAGTTGAAGAGACACTTAGAGTAGTTTAGGACTTTGTTTTTCCTTTGACCGTACTATTAAGGGGGTATGGACGGATAGCTTGACCTAGGTGAGTGTAGTGAGTTAGGTGTGGTGCACACTTGTTAAAACTAGCACTAGGTAGCTCCTAAATATGACTAAGATTCTTTGGAGCAAACTTCATTCACATATGATTGAGAGTTGGAAGTGAATGGAGGGTCAAAGACTGACCGGACGCTGGCTCCGATGCGATCGGACGCTGGAGAGGTCAAGTGACCGGACGCTGAGGGCCAGCGTCCGGTTGACTCCAGTAAGGTTCCAGAGAAGAGAATCTGCGACCGGACGCGTCCGGTCAGTGCTGACCGGACCCTGGGGGTTCAGCGTCCGGTCGACTCCAGAAAGGTTCCAGTGAGGGTTATTTGCGACCGAACGCGTCCGGTCAGTGGTGACCGCACCCTGCCTGCGTCCGGTCAACACTTAAACACGGGTGTGCGGGTTGAACTGACCGGAGCGTCCGGTCACCCCGTAGAGGCACATAACGGTTCGTTTTTCAGCCCATGTTATAAATAGAAGCTTCACTCGTGTGTGGAGTCACTTTTGCTCATTTCAACAGCTGAAACACACCTTAGAGAGTGCCAAGAAGAGTAAGGTCCTAGTGAGGTGATTGAGATTTGAGAATCCAAAGAGAGCCCTCATTAGTGAAGATCAAGAGTAGCAAAGTGTGCATCCACCCTTCTCCCTATGCTTGTTGTGGTCAAGTGAGAGTTCGTGCTTGTTACTCTTGGTGATCGCCATTATCTAGACGGCTTGGTGGTGATTGGGAGCTTGGTGATCATCCGGAGAGCTTGTGGATGACCCAACTCAAGTTGTGAGCGGTTGTGGGTGATTCACCGCGACGGAGTGTCAAAGAATCAACCCGTAGAGAGCACTTGATCCTTGCGCGGATCAAGGGGGAGCTACACCCTTGCGCGGGTGCTCCAACGAGGACTAGTGGGGAGTGGCGACTCTCCGATACCTCGGTAAAACATCGCCGCGTTTTATCTCCTCTCTTTACTTTGAGCATTTCAATTCTTGTCATTTACATTCCTAGAATTGCCATGCTAGAGTAGGATTAGAACTAGGTTGCTAAACTTTTGTACGTTAGATCAATAAAAACACTTCTCTAGGCACAAGGAGTTAATTGGACTAACCATAGGACTGGTTTATTGCGAAGAAATTTAGAATTCGTCCAATTTACCTTCCTTCATAGGCATCTTGATCCTTTCAGTTATGATGCCCCGGTAAACTACTGGTAATCTAGGGCGTATGATGCGATTATTCTTGTCTTGTCATCTTGTGATGTCGTGCTCATCCTTAATAATGAAGAAACATGCCGCGAATTGAAAATCAGGGTCATGTGCTAGCTCACCAGTGCAGCCTGAATACTGGTGCTCCATTCTTTAGCGACATGCATGCATTAGGCATTTAGGCATCCTGAATTACCGTGTCCATTCTCTAGAGATTATTGTGGACTAGGAGTACTATACTATACAATCATGATACGATACTTATTAGTCACCTAGCTTTAGCTTGGATTCTGAACACTTTGCAATTTTTTTTTTTTGCTCTGAAATTCTTAGCTTGTCATGGCGCACCTTGTAATAATTCAGCGGTAAAAAAACTCGACACGTGGTGGCTAGACAGACGTCGGGATTTTTGGCTTAAGGCAGAGACCTCTCACACAGGTCGAGAAAACTTCCGAACCCCATACCCTGCCCGCACACAAGGGTCTGTAACCCTGTGAATGGGCCGATGCCTGCAAACCTGTGCTTTGGGAACGCGGAGCAGGAACCGGTAAGAAACCGTTTTAGGTGGTGTTTGGATCCGGTGACAAAAATTTAGAAGGTGTGTCGGGAGATGTTTCATGGGGTGTTCGGATACTAATAAAAAAACAAATTACATAATCCGTCAGTACTCCACGAGATGATTTTTTAAGCCTAATTAACCCGTCATTAGCACATGTTTACTGTAGCACCGCATTGTCAAATCATGAACTAATTAGGCTTAAAAGATTCATCTCGTAAATTAGTCACAAACTATGCAATTAGTTTCGTAATTAGTCTATATTTAAGCCCCTTTGACACGGCTCATCCAAAACGGCTTCACAGGTGAAGCCAAAGCCGGTGAAGCCAGAAAAACTGGCTTTTTTCGGCTTCTAGTTCATTTTAACCCTGGCTTATAAAACGGCTTAACGCTACGCAGTTTTCGATTCGCAAAATAGATGAAGCGAAGTCGAAATAAGTCGTGCGAAAGAAGCCCTTATACTCATGCACGAAAATTTAGGAGGGCCAAACACCCCCTGCGTCAGGCCTTGCGACTAGCGAGGCAAGTCGTCGTGTCTCCGTTCCGGCGTTCCGGATCGGATCTGGTCATCACTCGTGGCGTGGTGGTTGGCGCCACGACTAGCGACTAGCTGGCTATCATGCTTACCCAACATGGAAGCATGCATGGTATCGTGGTGGTTGGCGCCATGACTTGGAGCTGAAGCTGAGCTGATCCATCAACACGCCTAATAACGAAACGATTGTTGATAGATTGTACACTGTACATACTAGCTTGCATTGCCATCTTCTCGGCAGGTATATATATATATATATATATATATATATATATATATATATATATATATATATATATATATATATAGACACACACACACACACACACGATGATCATATATGCATTATTAAGGATTTAAGGTATTATTAAACCCGATGATCATTTCGACATGAGGGCGGCCGATCGACGGATTATTTTACTGTCTCGTGATGACATATAATGCATGCAGGTATCCAGGAAATCGAGCATACATCGTCCAAGAGTTCGTGTGGCGTCTGCAAAACAATATCCTCCAGTGAAATGACCATGGATTAACGTAAGCCGGCTCTGCTCTGCTGACTGCAGTCGAACTGTTTTGGAGTAGTCTTTTCCCCTCAGATAATAATGGTTTTGGAGGTAGAGTAGCACTTCTAATTTGTATCTAAATTACATGCATAATTACTCTTCTATCAGTACTAAATATAAAGTAAGCACATAATGGTTTGTGCCACCATATGCACATGTATACATTGTAATAATATTTGTTTTAATAGTTTATCAAGACTGAAAAATATCTCCTTAACAAATCACATACCAATGGCATTAACAATTCACTTTAAGTTATTTCTTGTCAATAAAATTTTTGTATAAGTGGTTTCTTTAAATAAGTTTGTACCTTCTAACTGAAACATTATGCATAATAAGATTTTGACTCGTCCATAGGCATTGATTGATGGACTAGTATATACTGTATAAAGAAAGAACTGCGAAGGAGAAATTTGGGTCAATAACTTGGGTGTCGAGGTGCAAAGCTGCGCACTTTCAGTGGTTAATCAGTTTTGGTGGTTTCAGCATTCAGCAGCAGTTTCGGAACCAACTGCCACGTTTTGGGGACTATACTAGTAGTACTCGCGCGTACTGGTGTCACTGGACAGACGATATGCTCTGGACTTCGAAGACACTTTGCTCTCATCATGGCGCATCACAAGGCGGTTGTTAGGAACCCCCCATCATGCCAAAATAATAAGAGATTAGGTTCTGGAAGCTCTCCAATGTGCTTACAGATTCCTCCTTACCAACCAGTCGATTAACATTTTGTTCTCTCATGGAAGATTGCTGAGTAGTAAGTAGTGCATGATTGAGACGCCGCCTGCCTATATATTTCTCTCTTTCGTTTCCCGCGTCTCTGCAGACGAGTTGAAGCAGTGTGTACCTGCAGCTCCAGCGCACCATGACAACCAAGGTTAGTTGTGCCTTACCGATTACCATGTTAACACACATTGATTTTAAATAGAACAATTTGCATTAGCAGTGTGTATAGCTTTTAATTTCTGAAACTTTTTGGTTTCGCCTTTGATTACTACTAGGATTCTACCTTGATCATTGAAGTGGACCTCCAGTGCGAGAAGTGTTACAAGAAGATTCGGAAAGTTCTCTGCAAACTCCAGTGTATGAAATCCTGTGGTGTAAATCCATCAAGTCGAATTTCATTTTATTTCAGGCCGTGGCTTCACATTAGTTTGGTTCTTTTTTTCTCTTTGGATTTGGATGGAATTTGCATGCATGTAACATCTTTCAGCCAAGGAGAACATCAAGAAGATTGATTACGAAAACACGAAGAACAAGGTCACCGTCGTCGGTGCCTTCGACCCCAAGAAGCTGTCCAAGATACTGAGATGCAAGGCCTGCGACGTCATCAAGGACATCACCATCGTCAAGCCTCCAGAAGAGAAGAAGACAGAGGAGAAGAAACCGGAGGACAAGAAGCCGGAAGAGAAGAAGAAGCCTGCCGAGGAGAAGAAACCCACAGAAGACAAGAAGAAGCCTGCCGAGGAGAAGAAGCCCACAGAAGAGAAGAAGGGTGAGGAGAAGGCGAAGCCTGCCGCGGCGCCGCCGTCGACGACGGTGAACCTGCAGTTCGCCAACATCTGCGTCATCTGCTACCCGTGGCCGTGCAACGACCCGGCGCACTGGGGCGGCTTCCACCACCAGCACCAGCTGCCTCAGTGGCCACCGTGCGGGGGGATGGCTCCGGCGCCTGCCCCGCCGGTCCACAACCACCCGCAACCGCCCTGCGGCGGCGGTCCTCAGAAATGGGCGCAGTGCGGCGGCCCTCCGTTCTGCGGAGGGTGCGCGTGGTGCCATGGCGGCGGCGGCGGCATGAACTGCTGGGCGCCGGCGCAGCCGCAGCCGCAGCCGATGTGCTGCCCCGGGCCGTCGCTGTGCAGAGGGTGCAACGGGTGCAAGATCGTGCGTGAGACCAAGTTCAGCTACGAAGAGTACCCTTCCAGTGCATGTGCCATCATGTGATCATCTTACTCCTACTTGTTGCGCTGTTCAATCTTACGATAAGGCCTTGTTTAGATGACCTCCAAATTCCAAGTTTTTTCACTCTCTCCATCACATCAATTTTTGGACGTATGCATGGAGCATTAAATGTAGGTAAAAAAAATAACTAATTACACAGTTTGATTGTAAATCACGAGATGGATCTTTTGAGCCTAGTTAGTCCATGATCGGACAAAGTTTGTCAAATACAAACGAAACGTACTACAGTGTCCAGGTTGCAAAAATTTGCAATCTAAACAAAGCCTAATTAGCTCTTTGAATTTTGGTCAAAAAGTAGCTGTGTAGTTGTCCCAAAGAAATATTTTTCCTGCAAAGAAAAGGTTCTTTTTTGTTGTGGCAATTTGAGTTCTTTTTAAATTTCCATCCATAGTCAATCTTCAGTGGAAAGGGATATGTTTATGTCCAATTGCCCATGAACAATATATGTATTTTGTTCACCGAATATATGAAATATTAGCCAGTTATATTCCCTCCGTTCTAAGATGATTTATAAGTTATTCAACTTATGTTAATAGAGAAAATATAGGTAAAGTCTGCAATAATGCGGTCTATGCTCGATGCGTTGGCCATGGCACGGTGGACTACATGGCCAAGAGCCCATGGTTTGCCTGCCAGGTCGCATAGTCAACGAGGCCGACGAGGAGGATCCAAATGCTTGGGCCAAGGGAACCTCAGTGGACATGGCAATCCAAGCTGTGGCTCACCTAGCCATGCTACGGGAGGAGCTGTAGGGTGTGTTTCGTTCCTGTCTGCGTTGAAGCCTGGCTAGGATGGAAACGTGGGTAGGCTTGGTCTCGTCTCAGCAAGCCAACATGCACTTTTTTGGTTGCATGGACTATCTAAGCTCGGATTAGAATTGGTACGTTTGGTTTTCTGACTTTGGCTTGCATAGAATCACCTTATCTATTTTCTGGTAACTTCACCCCCTATAGCACATTCTATCAAGTCTGAATTTAGTTTTCAGTTGGTTTTTGCTGTTTCCAAAACTTAGAATCTTTCAAACCAGCAAGTTTTTTATGTTGGTCCTTTAATCAATGTTAGAGATCTCAGATCAATGAACAACTTTGCTTAAAGACAATCATCAAGTTATTTTGCAAAATCGAGAGAACGAGAGAGAGGAAGATGGATTGTCAGTCACTACAGTAGAACCTTCTCTTTTTTCCCCTTCTGCTTCAGCGCCGGCAATCTCCACGCGCCAGTGAAATTCGTCGTCGCAACCCCATCTCCGCCCGATTCCTCTTGCACGCAGCTTCGCCTCGCCCTTGCGCACCACCCTGGCCTGCTCGCAACGCCTATAGTCGTCGGAATTGTCCCCGGTGCCGGTTGCCGCCGTAGCCGTCCACCATGGCCGCCGCGTGCGCTCTCACCATCGGCAGCCGTCTCCGCCTAGTCTCCGCTTCGACCGAGTAGACTATCAAGTTGAGGTGACCGTTGGCAGCAGCACGACAACAAGGCCATGGTCACGGTCACCTCTGCTGCTCTGCACCTCGCCGCAATGGCCGCTTCTTACCTCGCCGTGCTCTCCCTCCTCACCATGGCCGCCACGGTGCAGGCGCCCAACGGCTCTCCAGCGGCGGCGCCCAAGGTCCCCGTGACCCCTCCCCCTGCGATGCTGCTCCCGACATCGGCACCAACGCGCGAGCGAGGAGGAGCGGCGGCGCACACCGCACGGGAGTTGGGAGGTGATGCAAATTAATACGCGTCTTGACCAAGCTAGGCCGTAGGGGACCGTGACGCCTAAGAGGGAGGGGGTGAATTAGGCAACTTAAAATTCTACTTCTAAACTATGGCCTCTTTTTCTACCCTTAGCAAAACCTATGCAAAAGATAAACTATCTATATGTGCAACTATGATTTTGCTAGTGTGTTGCTATCTCTACCGTAAAAGGAGTAATATAAACAACGTAAATGCGCAAGCTAAAGAGCAAGGTTACTGAGGTATCGAGAAGCGCGCAAGCTTCCCCCTAGTCCTCGTTGGAGCCCCTCGCAAGGGCTAAGCTCCCGGTCGGGTAACTCCGTGGATAGCCTCGGGCCTTCCCCACGCGCAAGTAGGTCACCGACGTGCCTTCCGGCAAGCCTCTCCCGGATGCTCCCCTCCGTCTTCACTATCAAGCTTCCGGCTGAAACACCGCGGGCCTTGTCTCCTTCGGTTCACGGTGGTGGCCACACCATAAACACGGTTGGTGTGATCTCGCAAGACTACAAGCCCCTCCGATGTACAACAATGATGCACGCAAGCACCGAGTGGTAAGAGGTATGCTAACCTCACTAAACACTAGGTCTAAACCTAGAGCAAGCGCATAAGCGGTGGTCTAATCAACCTAAGCACTTCGCAAAAGCACCTACGCTAATCACCTAATGAAACACTAAGCACTATGCAAGTGAAGATCACTAAAATGGTGTATCAACACCCTAGATATGTTTCCTCAGCTCCACACCACTCAAATGTCCGGTTGGGGGGTCTATTTATAAGCCCCACTGAGAAAGTAGCCGTTGGGGACGAAATCCCGCTTTTCTGCTACTGACCGGATGCTCAGGTCGTCCTGATCGGACGCGTCTGGTCGTCTCTACCGTTAGAGCCTCGATCAACTGATCGAACGCTGCCAGCGTCCGGTCACATGCCACCGGACGTGTCCGGTCGCAATTTCGTCGCTCTGGAATCTCTCTGTACTTGATCGGACGCTGCAGTCCTGCGTCCGATCAATTTGCTGCCAGCATCCGGTCAGTATTAGATGTGTTGCCGGTGATGATGAACAGTACCATCGGTGCATCCGGTCACTTTACTATTCAACGTTCGGTCGCTGCTGCTGACGCCTTCTGTTGCCGAGTCTCTTGATCGGAGCGTCCGATCGCTATATGCCAGCGTTGAAAGGTCCTAATGGCTAGAGGGGGGGTGAATAGCCTAATAAAAATTTCTACAACAACACTTAACAAATCGGTTAGACAATTATGAGGATAAGCAAGTGTTGCGCTAGCCTACTAAAAATGCAAGCCACCTACCACAATTCTAGTTTAGATAGTATCTATTCACACAATAGGTATGACACTACCCTATGTTAGTGTGCTCTCAAAGGCTAACTAAAGAGCCACACCAACCAACCAACCAAGCTCTCATAACTAGCTACACCAAAGAGCTTGACAACTAGTTTGCGGTAATGTAAAGAAAGTGATCAAGAAAGTTATACCGCCGTGTAGATGAAGGAGCCAATCAATCATAAGAATGAATAACAATGAAGACCAATCACCTCGAAATCAAATGATGAACACAATGATTTTTTACCGAGGTTCACTTGCTTGCCGGCAAGCTATTCCTCGTTGTGGCGATTCACTCACTTGAAGGTTCACGCACTAATTGGCATCACACGCCAAACCCTCAATAGGGTGCCGCACAACCAACACAAGATGAGGATCACACAATCCACGAGCAATCCACTAGAGTACCTTTTCCGCCGGGGAAAGGTCAAGAACCCCTCAGAATCACCATGATCAGAGCCGGAGACAATCACCACCCTCCGCTCAACGATCCTCGCTGCTCCAAGCCGTCTATGTGGCGGCAACCACCAAGAGTAACGAGCAAATCCCGCAGTGAAACATGAACACCAAGTGCCTCTAGATGCAAACACTCAAGCAATGCACTTGAATTCTCTCCCAATCTCACAAAGATGTTTAATCTATGATGGAAATGAGTGGGAGGGTTTGGCTAAGCTCACAAGGTTGCTATGTCAATGCAAATGGCCAAGAGAATGAGCTTGAGCCGGCCATGGGGCTTAAATAGAAGCCCCCACGAAATAGAGTCGTTGGCTCAATTATTGGGCTGACTGCGCATCGACCGGACACAGCACCGGACGCACCGATTGTGAATACCAGACGTGTCCGGTAGCTGCCTGACTGCCACGTGTCCAGTTCAAACCAACGTAGCCGTTGCTGCCCATTCTACCGACGACCGGACTCACACACCGGACGCAGAGACACACATGACCGGACGCTGAGCCGCCTAGTCCGGTCGAGTCCAGTAAGCCTCCAGGGACGACTAGATGCGTCTGTTAGAACTGACCAGACGCTGAGCCTCAGCGTCTGGTGAAGTACACTAAGCATCCACGCTCGACCGAACGTGTCTGGTCACTCCGGACCGGACGCTGCCAGCGTCCGATCAACTGTACTGCCGAACACCGTGTTTGCTGATTCACACCAGACATGTCCGGTATGGCGACCGGACGCGTCCGGTCGCTGAGTTTGTCGCCAAATACCGGACGTGTCCAGTCACCATACCGGACGCGTCCGGTCACTCTGTAACCAGCGCGACTAACTTCTTTTCAACTCTATCTTCTTCACCCTTGCTCAAATGTGCCAACCACCAAGTGTATCACCTTATGCACATGTGTTAGCATATTTTCACAAACATTTTCAAGGGTGTTAGCACTCCACTAGATCCTAAATGCATATGCAATGAGTTAGAGCATCTAGTGGCACTTTGATAACCGCATTCCGATATGAGTTTCACCCCTCTTAATAGTACGGCTATCAAACCTAAATGTGATCACACTCTCTAAGTGTCTTGATCACCAAAACAAAATAGCTCCTACAAAATATACCTTTGCCTTGAGCTTTTTGTTTTTCTCTTTCTTCTTTCCGAGTCGAAGCACTTGATCATCACCATGCCATCATCATCATCATGCTATGATCTTCATTTGCTTCACCACTTGGAGTGTGCTACCTATCTCATGATCACTTTGATAAACTAGGTTAACACTTAGGGTTTCATCAATTTACCAAAAACAAACTAGAGCTTTCAATCTCCCTTTTTTGGTAATTGATGACAACCCTTTCACAAAGATGTGAATTAAAATTCTATTGAATCCATGTTGCTTGCCCAAGCATATTTACCATGTGTAAAAGGATATGGACAAGTTTCATGAACCCCAAATGGTAGCAATTGCTCCCCCTACATATGTGCTAAGAGTT